CCGCTGGCTGAAGGGTTGTGGGCCCGAGGCCGGCCCCCACCAGCCTAAGCTCCCAGGGCAGGCCCTGCCCAGCTGGTGCCCTGGCACCTTGCATTAATCTTGCCCCCCTCCCTGCTGCGCCGCCTCGTGATGTGTCGCCCGCGCGCCTATGCCGTCAGCAGAGCCCCCCCCCACGCAATAAAGCCTGGGACTCGGCTCTTGTGCCCCGTGTCTTCTTCCCCCCCAGTGCCCCAGAGCACCCCCCCAGCTGGGCATGTTCCCCCCCACCCCAGGGCCAGGTGCAGCATGTGACCCTCCCTCCACGTGGCACCAAGCTCAGCATGTCTCGTCCCCCCCGTGGCGCCTGGCCCCAGCATGTCCCTCCGACGGTTTTGTGCTCTCAGCCCCACCGACTACCCCAGGGACCACCCTTAGCACCTGGGGAGTGGGGGCTGCAGGTCAGGAGTGGGAGGGGGTGGTCTGTGGTGCCGCTGTCCCTGTCCAACACCCCCGCTCCCTGCTGCGCACCAGCTGTGGCCATGCACCGCGGGTCCCCAGGGAGCTCGAGCTGCTGCGGCTCCAGCCCCCGTTCGGCTGCTTTAATCCAATCTGCCGGCAGCAGCTGCAGGAAGCGGCTCGGGTCAGGCAGGGAGGGACTCGACTCGGGCGTCCGGCTCTCACCACTGGGCCTAGGCAGCTGGCACCACCACCCCCCTGCCGAGCCAGGCCTTTCGCCCCATCCCGCTGGTGTCACCGAGGGGCACCAGACCCCCACCCCACCGTGACGCCAGCTCGGCCCTGGCTCTCGGGGACAGGAAGCGGGGGCTGCAGGCAGGAACTGCGCTGGCCCAGGCACAGAGCACGGCGCCAGCCCCGTACAGCCTCGCATCCGGCCTGGTGGCACGCAGCACCGAGGCTGGCGCCAGCAGGGCCAGGGGGGAGCCGGGCGAGGCGGTGCCCACCCCTGCCGGGGCAGGAGGCCAGGCCCGTCTGTAGGACGCTTCTGTGCGCCGCGTGTCCAGTTGCGGTGCCTGTCCCGCGGCCCTGCCTCAGCGTGAGCCGGCTTCGCCTGTGCGGCTGCCCTGGGGGGGATCAGGGCGGCTCCAGGGCAGTTTGTTCCTGGCCACGAGCAGATTGGAGCAAACTTCAGGGAAGGCGCCCGTGGGCGCCGCCGAGCCCC